AGAAGAAATTACACAAAAGATCAACTGTTGGCTTTGTGTAAAATATTGCATCAAAATAGTGATTCACTGGAAAAAGATTTCCCACAGTCAACACGCACCCAAATACCCACTCAGGTCACAAAAACAAAAGTGATATCAGTAAGGACAAAGGAAGTTGTTATTTTAGTTTTTGAACAGTCTTGATTCATGCTTCCTGTCATTTTGCTTGGGGGTAGATAAACCACTATTCCTAAGTAAACAATTAAACAGAACTGCCAGAAACTTTTCAAATCCTGAAACCAGTATTATCAGGAATAAATCCAGAGCGGAAATGAGTTGTGTTCTCCTGCTATCCAAATGCTGTTTCTGATGCTATCCTATTTCTCCTGCTATCCAAATTCTGATGATTTTTTTTAACCCGAAACTGAGAAAACCATTACTGTAAACCCTGTTTTTGTGACACAGTGTGATGATCACCATATTTCAAAAGGATCTCTTGGTTCTTACCAAGTTGGGCAGGATAATTTCTCTGAGGTTTGCTCAGCAGGAAGCAGTCTATCTGTCCCAGTTTTGCCAGCTCAGAGAGGTGCTTCGTGCTGCTTTCACAGCTGAGGCCTGTGGCAGCTTGCTCCCTGGGGCACCCAGAGAGTGCTGAGATGTTTGTGATCACCAACAGGAATGCTGGGGATGCTGCAAGCCTGGATTCTGACAGAGTTTGCTCTCTTCAAAGCTACTGGGAAGTCCTGTTTGTAATTATTTTTTGTTATATTGTTGAAAAAAATGTGAATATATACAAATCTAAAAGGTTTTTTTAAGAGCTGGTCTTAGAAAGGAAATCAATTAGCAAAATTGATATAGCTTTTCCCTTTTTTAATTTTTTTTTCTGTGCAATTTAAAAAATATTCTGTAGCGTACATGATTTTTCCTCCATTTCACTTGCTTTTTTTTCATAAAACAAATGTGTTCTATGCATGAACCAAAACCACAGAGACAGGAGATTGTTATGCTCAACCTCTTCAAGACATCAGTTTCACATTCAGGAGAGCTAAACGGTTTTACCGCCTTTGGCCCCGTTAGAATCGTGGAATATTTTGGGTTGGAAGGGACATTTAAGGGTCTTCTAGTACAACTGCCCTGCAGTGAGCAGGGACATCTTCAACTGGATGAGGTTGCTCAGAGCCATGTCCAACCTGACCTTGAATGCTTGCAGGGATGGGGCACTATGCTAGGCAACATGTTCTGGAGTTTTACCACCCTCATTGTAAAAAAAAAAACTTGTTTCTAATATCTAATCTTAATGGATGCTCTTTCAGTTTAAAGCCATTAGTCCTTGTCCTGTCACTACATGACTTTGTACAAAGTTCCTCTCCAGCTCTTTTGTAGGCCCCTATAAGGTACTGGAAACTGCTGTAAGGTCTCCCAGGAGGTTTCTCTTTTCCAGGCTGAACAACCCCAACTCTCTCAGCCTGTCTTCACAGAAGGGGGGCTCCAGCCCTCTGAGCACCTTTGCATCCCTCCTCTGGACTTGCTTCAGCAGGTCCATGGCCTTCTTGTGTTTCAGGCCCTCGAGCTGGATGCAGTACTTCAGGTGGGATCTCATGAGAGCAGAGGAGGGGGACAGAATCACTTCCTTCAGCCTACTGGCCATTCTTCTTGTTATGTAGCCCAGAATACAGTTGGTTTTCTGGGCTGCAAGTGCACATTGCTGGTTCACGCCTAGCCTTTCACACACCAAACCTTCCTAAAACTTTATGTTAAGTTCCAACTTAAATTTCATGTTCTCTCATACCTCCTTGGCAGACCTCAAGATCCTCCTGTCTTGAAGAGGTTTCTTCCCATCTGCCTTCTGCAGGTGGGAGCTGACCTAAATTTGGTCATAAGGTAAGTGAGAGAGGTGTCAGGGCTTCTTCCATGCAAGTAGGTCAGTTGTTTCTCCTCTTTCTCTTCTTCCACGATGCAGCATTTCCGTTCTCTGTGACTTGGGGTATTGTTTTTTCCCTAGATTTGTAAATTGCAATCATGCGGACAGTTATCCTGAGGATAACGTAAGGAGAAATTTAGTTATTTCCTCATAGTCAGAGATCACTGAACACGTTTTCTTCACCTTGAATTTATACACCCTGGTAAGATAGAACTGGTAAGAAAGATAGAACTCATGGAAACTACAAATTCAGAGTTCACACTTCAAAGCTTTGTTTATATCTTGTAATGCAAAGTGATTCTCTGTGGGAACAAATGTGTGGATGCATTTTGCCCCTGACTATGTTTTCTCAGATCCCAGAAAATACATATGTGTGTATAAAATCAAAAGTTGGGATGATATACCTAGATCTGTTTAAATTTCTTCCTGAGAAGGATAGGGTAGTTAAATGGCTTCACAGATGAAGTCATGCTTAATGAAAAGATGAGTTTACTTGTCATTTCTTCAATGACTGGAGATAGTACTGAAGCAGAAAATAATATTTGTTTGGAGGTTAGCAGTGTTTGGAAAAGCAAAGGTTTTGGTATGTCTCTTGCCCTTCTGCCCCTGTTCAGTCTTATAAAACTCATGTTTCTTATCCTAGAGATTCTCTCTGCTCAAATGGGTATACCTAGTTTTATAAGAAACTTAAAAAATTACTAGGTAAAAAGCACTATTTTTAATAGTTACCTGGCACCTGAATGTAACAGACACAAAAATAAACAACAGGAACTTTAAACCTCCCAAATTATTCCAGTGCAGCAGAATAAATCCTCACGTCACTTGCAGCAAGCAAGCAAGCAATGGGCTTGTCTTTGAGTTCCCACTACACTAATTTTTGGGATTGTTGAATTGAACTACTGCTTGCTAGCTGGTGCATGTTAAAGATGTCCTTTCAAGGAGATTATTTTAATTGCTGTCTACTCTGAGCAGAGGAGGAAGAAAATTTTCATCACTATCCTAACAATGGACCGGAATGTGAAGCAATTGTAGATTTTGTTGCTACAGCTGTGATATCATAAGAGCATTGCCAGGGAACAGTTGCATGTTTTTTAACATTTTGATGCTTCTCATCTGGGAGGCCGTATTGTGTCCTAGTTGGTTGCTGCCATTGCAAAGGTGTCCAGCAGGGAGAAAGTGGGCTCACTCAGCCCTAATGTGTGGCATAATGAGAGGCTGAAATCCCTAAAAACTATTAGTTAAGATTATCTAACCACATTATTAAATTCCGTAGGGAGAAATGTGGATCTGGACAAACCTTTCACATGTGGCCTCACCATAAATGGATGAGATGTAAACTAGGATAGGGAGAGGAGATTATAAAGGGGAGGGGAATGGCAAGGGGACCCTCCCTGGAATCTGAGTAAGGAGAGGGATGCTGGGAGAGAGGGACAAGTTCCTGTGTTTCAGTTCCATTTTTTCCCTGAATACGCAATTGGAGTAACACCTCTCAACTTGGAAACTATTTCTCATCCTAAATTAATCAAAGGGTAAGTGTGCCATACCTAAATACTACAGAAAAGGTATGAATCAAAGATATGCTTTAGCTCCTCACCTTGGTCCTGCCTGCCAGGTGCCTGTGAAAGTCCTATTGTTGGCTTTTATAGCCATAAAATTAGGAGCCTCAGCTCTGTCTCATCTCTGACCTGCCCATCCCTGACTTCAGAAGGTAGTTAAAACAGAAAGGTCTGGGCTGAAACATATTATTAGGCAGCCCCCTCTTGTCACCCTCCTCTCCAAATTATAGCTGTCTTTTAAGCCTGTAGATAGAGCCATCACCTAGGAGACTGGCTTGGGTTGGAAGGGATAAAGCTATCTCCTAATATTTCTTAAAAAAAAAAAAAAAAGGCAGTTAAGAGCTCGAGGCAGGATAGAAAAAGCAGCAATAGAGACATGAAAACAGCGTGCACATTTTTATCTCATGACGAGGACAGGTGGGTGACCTCCTCTGTTACAGGGGGAGCTTCCTGTGTTGGCTGCCCAGGATGGTTTTACCCTCTCAGTTTTTAAACTGATGGTGATTCTGATGTCTGAAATCACTGCACTTCTAGGTACATTGCCAAAACACTTGGTTAAAAGTCAACAGAATGTGTCATTTTTGGGTACATAGTCAAGAGGAAAAAAATATCCTTACACAACTGAAAGTCTGTGACATGCTCTGAAGTTAACTCTGAGCACAGTTAATAGAAAATAAATTAATTTAACTGAACCTTAAGTTTTCCCCATGCAATCATGCAATCTTTATACAATTTTGTTAAAAATGTATGCCAACTTTAAGAGAGTGCAGGAGAAGTGGACAACTTTAGTCTCTCCTCTTTCATGTGTATTTAATGCTTCCCTCAATGCTACTTTATAAATTACTATTTTTTGCAGCTAGAAAGTCTAACCTGTTACCTGATGGTCATAGGAACCGAGCAGCTCCACTTCTGTACACGTAACCCATGAATATGAGAGCAAAGCAACCTGTTTGGTTTTGTTTTACTTTTTTTTTGTCATCAGCGCATGAAGTGGTGCTGGTTTGGGGGAAGCTACTTGTGCTGTCCATCTGGGGAAGTGATGAATGTGCTTAGACAGGCCCTCTGAGCCTGAGAGGTGTCCTGCTGTGTCAGTAGAAGCAGTGCTGTCACACCACTGATGACCACTTTGTGAACTGATGGCTGGCAGGTCTCATGTCACAGGAGAAGGTCAAGGGGGATTGTGACAGGAACCTTCCTCTTCCCTGCGTTTTAAGTGGAGAGAGGTGCCTGAGGACATGTCCTGGTCTGAGGGTGCTGGGCTGGCTGCCACTGGGATGGATGTCTGCTGTTCAGTGGCCGTTCATCAGCATCGTTTTTATGGCAGACTCATAGCAACTCGGGCTTTTTTTCTTCTTACAGGCCGGCTCTTTGCACACTTAGTGAACAGGCAGGAGTTAGCAAAAGCAAAAAATTTGTATAGAGCTGCTGCAGAGCTGTTTGGTTGCTGATGGCTAAATGCCCACTCCTGGTGACATTGCCAGTAGAGCTCTGCCACCAGCAGGTTTTGTTGCAGGGGCAAATATACTTTCTTCTAATGCTTCCAGGTCCCAAGAAGACAAGTTGCACTGGAACTCCAGTAACATACTTTCAAAACCATCTGTGTTGATCTTTAAGCTGAGATTTCTAAGCACCTGATACCTACCCACTGGGGTAGAAGGCTGTTTTCTCACTTTCCTGGTGGGGCTCTATTTTTTTTTTTATCCTCTAGCACAGTTCTGTATTGATCAAATACCAAAAGCTAGTTCACAGTACAAACAATATATGAAAAAATACAAAAAGAGAAGAAATAGTCTTATGGAAACCATCATGTTTTGTTTAGAGGTGGTCTGCTGTGCCAACAAAGTTTAATGAATATTGCATTTTGCCTTGTTCATAGAGCAAGATGAGTGTAAGTCACCTGCCATACACATTTTGAGATCGTAATCATTATAAATGTTCAGTAGACAGTGTGCCATCCCACTCCCTTTTAACTGTAAAATGAAAAGCTCTTTGGATTTGTACCTACTGTTCTTTCAAAATAATTTAACTTGACTTCTTTCACTCCAGTAGAAAACATCTTATAATAAAGTTTTATGTTTTAGCTTAAGGAGATAATGAGGATCTCAAACCTAGTTTGTCAGCGAGTGACTTGCATACTAAGTCAGAATTGTAGAACAATAGGGTTATTTCAACAGAAGAAAATGTGATGCTGGTTTTCTCGTGGCTAATACTGAGTAAATCTTGTCTGCATGCAAAATATTACATAGCTCTGTATTTTTTGCATTGATATCTGATTTCTAGCATTGTGTGATTATATAAATACATATATTGAATAAAGATTCCTTTTTTAAAACATTTGGTTTATGAAGGTACCAGAGATGACTTTAATGGTGTACTCCTTTAAAATAGTTCCCATTGAATAGAACTATTAACAGTCCATGACATCAGGGTCATGATACTTGTAACTTCAGATAATATATGTATACTCACTATGCAAATCCCCTTCCTGTTTTGTTTTCAGCATTGGTTATGTTACCCATTAGTATCTATTTTTGTTGTGAAGCTGTGTCCCTTACGTATCCAAATACTTTTTTTCCATAAACAAATGGATAATTTGCATGTACAGTGGGTAAACTTGATAAAGACTCATTTTTCTTAGTTAGACTCTGGTTTTAGAAAGCTTGTTGTAAAACCTGTTTTTATATTACACCTCTGGATAGCAATTAGTTTTCAGGATATTTGTTTTTCACTAGTTGAAAACTGAAACAGAGTAGTGAGAATTTCTTTTTTATTTTTCCCTCACAAGCTAATCCTAGTCCTTTATGTAGAATTATAATGAAACCCTTAGTTATAGACTAACTCGGTGTTTTTACTTGCTGATAATGGTATTTTGTTTGTGGGATATGAGAGATCTTTTCAGTGGTCATGCTATTACTTGTTTACCCAATTCTGTCATAAACTAATGAGTAATTTTAGTTAATGCAGACTGGCTTAGTCATTTTGTAAGTATTTCAAGCCCCTGCAAGAATGACACAGCAATGTTAGTAATTAACTATGCCAGCCTTTATTTGTATTCTGGCTCAACTAAAAGTTCCTGGTGATGTTGCATTTTGGTATGTATTGTGTCCAAGGCTCAGCCATTCCCCCAGCCCTGCAGATATAAAGGCTTCAGTTGAGAGTGTCCAAAAAATTAATTGGACTCTCTCAGTTTTGTGCTTTATGTCACTGCTACTGAAGAGGAGAGCAAATGGGGAAGGCTTAGCTTGTGCCTTGTCTGGCACTGTGTGACATTCTGAAGTTGTACTTTTTTTATTTGTTGGCTCAAAAAGGAACCCAATCGATCTGGGTTAAGAGATTCGGGGATTTGGGCTGGGTAGCAATACTAGCAGGGCTCATAACACTTCACAGAATTAGCTTTTTGAAAAGATATGCTTCTGGGAAACTGTGAAGTACCTGGGCTCGAGGTAGAGCTGGAAGAGAAATCATTTTGACAGAGGAGCTTGTAACAGTCCAGCTCACATCTTCTGGTGATGGCAATGAAAAGAACCATCAGTACTGATCATCTCAAGCCCTAATAGCCCGAGCTCTTGCGCAGTGCCACGTCACCTTCAGCTCCTCTTTGCCGTGGAGATCCTGGGTAAGCTCAGAAGTAAGGACAAATACAGAAGAGAAGATGGAAGCAGAGGTATAGCCAGCTGTCCACAGAACATCAGTAAGTGATTGTCCTACATGTAAATCCTGGCACCACAGTTTAGGATTTGATACTAAAGAAGTGGAGTGCTTGGAATGAGTACATCTTAACGTTTCCAGATAATTAAATCTCTTGGGAAAGAATAATATTTCTCACCAATTTTGTGATGTTTAAGGGAAATTATTTTGCTGTAAGCAGTTTTGCACATTTGTGCAATCACATTATAACCTTCGTGCATAGATATACCTAGTAAGAAATATGATAAAAATATCATGGGATGTTTGCAGCCGATGTTTCCAGAATTGGTCTGCATTTTAATGTACTAATCTAGTTTTCATAGTTTAAAAGAGCAGCCCCCTTTAGATACAAGCTTGCCTCATCATTTATCTGAAGGAAAGATGATTAACCTTTGTTTGCAGTTCTGTCTCTTGACTGTTGGAGGCTACTTCAGTGAAGCTTGGTTTTGTTTTGTTGTGCCAGCAAAGAGTAAATACCAAACCAGATGCTATTCTTGCTACTCTGCTACGGGCTGCTGCCCCGCTCTACTTCTGAACCTACTGCCCTGCCATTTTCCCTACACCTGCATGAATGACTTGGTTTTCCTCATCCTCACTCTCTCACCACTCTACTCCTTGAGATAATTGTCCCTTTGCTGTTCAAGTGCTGTGTCGCTGAGCACAGGGGCTGAGAGCAGGAAGAGTTTTCTTGCTGAGCTTCATCTGTGGCTTAAAAAGTACTTGTGTGATGGAGGCAGAGTAGCAAAGGTAGCAGCTGCAGGAAGAAAATATAGGAACTGGAACTGGGGGGAACTATTGAAAAGAGTAGTGATAGAAGCTCAAGATACTTCATACCGGGATAAAAATCTCACCACTGAAGGAGAATCCTTTTCTAATCATGAAGTTTTACAAAGAATTCCATAGTTTCATTACTGTTCTGCAGCTTGAAAAATAGCTCTGAGCCCTAGGTGTTTCTTGAGTACCGTCTAGGATTGGTCACTGCTGAGGATATGTCTGCTTCTGCTGGGAAATGCTCTGCTAACTCAAGTGGCAGTATGTGTGACACGGTTCTAGTTTGCCTAATATTGTTGTAAAACTACTAATGAACACTGTAGGGATCAACATGATTCCACATGTTTGAACAGCTACATTTTTTGTGGTGATTAGTCCCTCCACCCCCTAAATATAAAATTATAAGTCACACCCAAAGTGAAATAAATTGATTTTAAATTTGTACTTATTCTGAGAGGAAAAGAGTATGTGAAGGTAATTCGAGCAAAGCTGTAATGTATAGGTAGGTGTAAGGAGACTGAATTAAAGTTGCACAAGATTTCTGCCTTTTTCTTAAGTTAATCTGATGCAGTATAATTGGCTGAAAATAACTAAAAACTCACCTGTGAGCTTCTATACACTCTGGAAGAAATGCTTATATATCAAAGTACTGAAGGCAAAACACCCACAATAATTGCATGAACTACAAAGTAAATTTCTTTCATCATAAAGAGAAAATTATAGATTAGCATCTGTACTTCCCCCCCCCCCCCTCTATTTTTCTGCACACCCTGCACTCTGATCTGTCTGTACTTCTTATCTGTAGGTGTGGTGCATTTCCTACAGCAGGAAAAGTTCTTGAGGGTTTGATGTCATGTGTCACAATAATACCTTCTGCTGCTAAGCTGCTGCGAATCACAGCCTTATGTTTGGAGTACAGAACTGCAGGATTCCCAGCCCTTCTTTCACACAAGCTCGGCTTAAAGAGTGAAATTTTAATATGGACATAATAAGGCATTCAGATTTGAAATTACACTGATACTTGACTTGTGAGTTAGATTTTTTGCTCCATTCCCCTCCAACATGAAGAAATCACTTTTCTTTAAATGACATTTTTCACAAGCAGAAGCCAGTAGTATTTCAGACATCATCTGCCAGTCGGGCAGCTGCTATGCAAACTGCTATCCTAAAACAGGTTAATTTGGGAGGGTTTTTTAATGAGTGTCACACCTAATGCCTTGCTCCTTTCAGTTTTACCTTCTCAGAGCTCAGGTGGCAGTTGTGATTAAAAGCAGCACAGATATCCAAATCAGGATGCAGGGTGTGCATTGGCTGGCTGACAGGGTTTAAGTAATCACCTGCAGTTGAATTGAGTCTCGAATGGGAAGTAGGAAGTGCTGCACTCAAGCTTCCTGTATAAATAAATGCAGCTTTCCCACAGCTACTGCACACAAGCTGTGACGTGCTTTTAAGATATAATGGCAGCATGCTCTAATAGCAGGGAGGGGATGATTTATCAGAGTGGCAAAGGGGCTGGGAGACAAGTCCTGCTGCAGTCCTAAAAAGTGTACAGCTGTCAGATACCCAGAGAAGAGGAAGGGCGTGTGAGAGCAATCTGCCTCTGCTCCTCATTGCAAGCTTCAGGGGTTTGTGACACCGTGGTTCTTGGGAATGCTGGAATCTGAGTGCAGCTACTGAGAAGTCACACAGCTGGCAGTGAATGCTACTCTCCTTTCAAGGTATGTTGGAATACAGCTTTCTGGCTATTTTTTCCTTAAGAGCAAAGGACACCTTAAAAGAACAGAAAGCCAGGATTTGCTTCTAATGGAAGAAAGTAGAAAAGGGTTTTTTTTTTTTTAAAGAAAAAGAAAAAAACCAGTAAGGACTAGAAAGATTAAAGAGCTAAAATGAATATTATTTTTGGTTTGGCTAAAATCAGACTGTATGGTGCTTAGAGCTAAGGCAAAAAGAAATCGTGGAGTTGTGACTATTAAAGGCACAGAAAATAAATGTACATCAAGTACTCCCCAAAACGGTGAAATTACTTTTGTCAGTGTAACTTTTAAAGAAATATCTGTGTGAAGTGTTTGAAAATGCTGCGGTATTAGGACATACCTTGTGGAAGGCAGTTGCTAAAATGTCATACTGTCAGTATGTTTTAGTTTAAATACAAGAACTCCTTTCATACTGAAGAAAACCACCTCATTAACCTAGAGGAAGCCTGAGTTTAAAACACAGAG